AGATTTGATCCCTTTAAACGTTTTTTTTTAGTGGATACTCGTATTTGAGTAGACGCCACGTTTCTTTATTAAACAGTATACTTGCCGGTATGAATATTAGAGAAATTTTGGTAGAGAGAAGACGCGTCCTTTGTTATTCAGGCCCGAGGACGATAATAAATATACTGTTTAAAAATAAAAACGGAACGTCTACTTAAATACGGTTATCCACTAAAAATACCGCTTAAGTAATAAAAATCTATCCGATTAATAAATAAATCCATTAATTCTCAAGAGATTGCTTTGTTTACGTTTGCATACGATACTTTGCGGCTATGACATTTCTAGAGTCTCTTAAAGGATTTATTCACCCTTGCTTGAGACGCAAATTCTTTCGTGACTGAGTCGTTTAAAGCACGTCGAATCTAACGATGCTTTCTCCTGTCAAGGGAGGACACAAGTTCGAATCCTGTCACAAGGATCATATTTTCATCTGGGATGAGGAAAAAAACGTTAGATGGTAGTTTCTCTCGCAAAGAGAGGCGCATGTTCGAATCTTGCCGGAGGGCTTGTTATGGTCTAGAATAATGATGATTCATTATTTTAAAAATAACATTGCAATCAGTGATAATAAAAATTAAGTATATTTCATCATTCTAAAAATAACCTAATCATCACTGATGATAGAAAAGAAGGGTAATTCATCATCCTAACCCTCATCATTAAAAAAAACGACCCTTCCACCACAAAAAAGTCAGTAGAGTGGTGTAGACCAGAAGACAAGTAGACACGTAGCAGTACAAGAAACACACATCTGACAGCGCTCCAAGAAGATCGAAAACAGATGATTTCAAACGCATCCTCACAAATGAAATTCTCAGGATCAAACCAAGTCAGTAATGACTTTTAAATTAAAAAAAAATGCTGAGAACATTTTTACAAACACCGTAGCAATATTCTGCAGTTTACATCACAAAAAGAAAATACAAATTCTTTTTATTTATGTCAACACGTGTCTCAACTTTTTATTTTTGTTATGGTTGTATGTTTAGGAATTTTAATTGCTGTCATTAATATCAACCCCATTACAATCAACAGACAATAGCAACAGGTAAAATAATGCATCAACACCAAACATTACGTACTTTATTAAGTTTTGTTTTTCATGCGTTAGATAATGTTTAAAATAATACAAAAAAAAAAAAAAAACAATGAAATAAACGGATGGTCTACTGAAATACGGGAATCTAGTAAAAATGACTGCAGCTCGGCAGCTTCATTACAGCGATCATTGAATTATGTAGCCGTGATGGGGGAGTGTTGATTTGATGCTGTACAGGCTACATAATGACTTTACACAATGGAATAGTTATCATGCATTTAACATTGAGATTTCTATTTCAATTTTGCTGAACCAATGAGCGAGCATCGGCAGCGGATGAGTCGTTATGGTGAAAAAGATGGTTATCCTAGTAATCTATCTATCTATCTATCTATCTATCTATCTATCTATCTATCTATCTATCTATTCCCCAATTTATTCATATCTATCTATCTATCTATCTATCTATCCCAATTTATGCATATCTATCTATCTATCTATCTATCTATCTATCTATCCCAATTTATTCATATCTATCTATCTATCTCAATTTATTCATATCTATCTATCTATCTATCTATCTATCTATCTATCTATCTATCTATCCCAATTTATTCATATCTATCTATCTATCTATCTATCTATCTATCTATCTATCTATCTATCTATCTATCTCAATTTATTCATATCTATCTATCCCAATTTATTCATCTATCTATCTATCTATCTATCTATCTATCTCAATTTATTCATATCTATCTATCTATCTATCTATCTATCTATCTATCTATCTATCTATCTATCTATCCCAATTTATGCATATCTATCTATCTATCTATCTATCTATCTATCT